TTGTCCTGGAGCAAGGTACTTAACTGTTTTGGGCTCCAGTTTTCTTATCAGTCAATTGGGAGTAATAGTATTACCTACCTCTTACCTGCTTTAATGAAGATTAAATGGGGTGCATGTAAAATGCTTAACATGGTGTCGGGAACATTCTCGACACAGGTCAACCATTATAAGTAGGCCTCTGGTGTTAGCATAAGACTTGCCTGGTTATAATTATTTGCATACATGGGAAAAAATGAAGAACAGTAGTAATTTTAGCTTTGCCAGAAAACAAAAAGTGGCATAAGGTGTCAAGTGCAAAGAGCCTTGGGCTGGGAGCCAGAAGATCGTGTTAAGTCTGCCGCTTGCTCACTACACGACCGACCGGGGGTCCAGCCACCAGCTCTCCGCGTCTGCATGTACTTAACTTAAGAGGAGACAGTTTGCCCCAAATCAGCTCTGCTGTCCTTTCTAGTATTAGCATTTTATGAGTCCAGGTATGAGGGGTTATTTCATTTTAAATTCTTCACTGTGGTAGATACTGAATAAATATTGGCTAACTTGGATGGAATCTGCTGACTTTATCTCTGGAATGTTGAGGACCTGGTTTTATGATTTTGAATTGTAAACACAGAAAACAACGATGACGATGTTTGAGATTTAAAAAAAAAAGGCATAAAATTCAAAGCCAGAGGCAAGCTGTGCATTAAGGCTGCTGTAATAAAGTGCCATGAATGGAGTGGCTTAAACAACAGAAATTTGTCCCTTCACAGTTCTGGAGGTTGGATGTCCAAAACCAAGGTTTCCCCAGAGCTGCTTCCTTCCAGGGGCTCTGAGAACCTGGCCCGTGCTCCCCTCCCAGCTTCTGGGGCTTTGCGGGGTCCCCTTCGGCGTTCCTTGGCTGTGTCATCTTCACAGAGTGTTCTTAACGCGTGTGTCTCTATGTTCAAATTCCCCTTTTTAGTAATGATACCTGCCACATTGGATTAGGGGCCCAGCCCACTCTAGTTTGACTTTGTCTTAACATCTGGAATGACCAAGGTCACAGTCTAAGCTCCTGGGGGGAGGGGCTGGCTAGGACTTCAGCACATGAATTTTTAGGGGATGCAGCTCAACCCACAAAAGGCTGCAGATCCTCTCCTGCCAGTATAACTGTCCATCTAGCCACCTGTTTATCCCCCTTCCTCCCAATAACCCTACGGTGCATAAGGTGGACAGATAACAGACAGCGTCCTGAGGAATTTTCTTTGCAGGAGGCCCTTTAACGTTTTACATAAATGGCCACTAGCTGATTCTCGTCTTGCACTCTGTGGGTTGCTCAGAACTTCTCCTCCCATCTCATTCTTTTTTCCACTGTACTGTCCCCTTTTCTGCGCTTCCTGACTCTTTCCTCCCCACCGTTCCCCCGCTTTTCCTTCTTGGCCGAGCATCTCACTTGCGATGAGCAAATAGTTCTGCCACCAGATGGTGTGCAAGGATTGGGAAAAGAATCGCAACACACTGGCTGACGAGGCTGCTTTTCAACATTTCATTTCGGGGAAAGGCCGACATGACAAGCCAGACAGGAGAGTCTGAGGTTGTGCAGATTTTACTTCTCCATATAAATGTTCTCTCCCTGTATTGTGGAAACGGAAACCTGAGCTGAGAGTCCTGGGGATAAGAAACCTATAAAATTTGTTGAAATAAGAATTACCAGGAGATTCTGATCTCAACATGAAGCTGAGATGTGGGAGCAATGTTCTCAGGCCAAAGGTCCACTTCCTCAGACAGAAACCACTAAAAGGGGAAAGCTATTGAGTGCGATAAAGCTGCAGGATGACTTTAGTGACATAAGGGACCTCGGCTGTCATCTAACTCAGCAGCCTCCACCGAGGCCGCTCACAGACCCCCACCACGTACGATATGCTCTGTTCAGCTCGAACAGCATTGTGTTATTATTACTATTATTATTGGTTCCCAATGTTAAAACAATCCCAGTATTTTACATAATCATCCAGATTTCAGGCTTCTTTTGGGAAAAAAATTGTGAAGACCTGGCAATGCTGGCTGATATTTTTTTCTTGGCAACACCTTATTATTGCTGAGCTGTGGCTGTCCCTTTAGTTGGAACTTGTAATTTACAGTTTGTCTCTTCCACCCACCCCCTTGTATTACACTGAACCTTTACCTTCATTTAAAATGTTGCCTGCCTCTGCCTAGCCCACGAAAGGTATTTGACATGTGACCCTGCTGTCCCGTTTCACAGACACAGATGCGAAGCCCAGAGAGGGGAGCTGACAGCAGGCTCAGTGCCACACCCGCCCTGCAGTCCCCACCGGGCCTTGCTGCCTCAGGAGCAGGACCTGGTGGGGAGAGCGAGAGGGGCCCGCGGTGGAGTGATGCAGCTCAAGCAGAGTCAGGAGGGCAGGTGAACACTAAAGGAAAACAGTAACTGCCATCACCCAGTTATACAGACACCAGAGCCACGCACCCCCATGAGTGAGAAAATGGGGAACCCTAAAGTAAACACCTTACGGGGAACTTGGAGGGAATTAATGAACGCTTGTTCTGAAGACCATCGGTTAGCAGTCAAAAGAAAGAGGAACTTCGGTGACCTCCCTGAAAGTTCAGGCTGCCTGTAAACTCATTCTGTAAGCGTCAGAAAGGGGATGGATGAGACCAGGTGATTAAGGAGACAAGGCGGCTAGAAATCCGGTGGTCTACACCCCAAAGAGTCAGCACAGAGAGGGCAGGCGAGGAATTAGCAGAAATGATCATGGTTGCTGTGTTCAGATGGGGGAGCCCTAGCAATCATTTTTCTCTAATTTCAAAACGATCTCTAATTTCAGAGCAACCACCTATATTAAGGCCGTGCGTTTTAAGAATCTTTTGTTTCCATCGCATGGGCTTCTGCTGGGCAGTGGTGCAGATGCACTTCTCGAGATTGGTTGTGGCTGAGAGGAGGAAGCGGGGAAGGGGAAAACCAGGACAGGGACAATGAGGCTAGTGAAGAGGTCACCCTCAACAAGGTAAAATGCAGGAAACAAGTGTCCCAACACACAGCCAGTCAGTAAGGAAATGTTAACAGACAAACAGCTTTTTATTTCACGTTAATAATTATAGTCAGAGAATTCTGAGTACCAGGAAGAAGACAGTTCCTGTTCTGGGTCAAAATGAGAATTTTAGGCTGTGTCTAGTTAGGTCAGGTATTGTTCTAGAGGATACTCTGAGGACAAAGAGTGCTTGGATTAATCTTACATGTTTGGATTTGAGGGACCCTCCTGGGCAGAGAGCTAGACCCCTCAAAAGGGCCGCTGACATAAGTGGTTCCTTCTGGTTCGGGGATGGGAGGTATTGGTGAAGCTGGGTGCCCACTTGAGGCCAGAGCGTTTCGGCCAAACGTAAGCAGTCAAGGCTGCTCAACAAACTGCATTGGATTTTCTGGTTATTTCTGGAGTTGGCATTTCCAGGTATTGCCAGTCTCTCCATTAGCCCTTTCTTCTGGGCAACATTATTGAAAGGAAATGTCCGGTGGTTGTTTTCTGAAGTCGGATGAAGTCTGTTGATGACGGCAACTTGAATTGAACTTGGCTCTCTGTAATTATTGAAGAAAAACCACCCAATTGCCTTTTTGTCCCCCTGCTCTCAAGCTAATGCTAATCAAAAATGGTATTTGATTGACCTCTTGAAATACATTCAAATCTTCCTTGAAGGACTAGATTGATAAATTGGGTAAAATTAGTTACTCTTGTGAATCACTGTAATTCATTCTGCGGAGTCTCTCGGGCTGCCCTGTTCAATCTGGAGGAGACGTAAGGGACACCAGACACCAGAATTGAACCTGAGAGGCCCAAGTCTTTCAACACTGTCTTAAGCAATGTGATTATTGAATACACTTGAACCCGCTTGTTGCTTCTCTTGAATTTGGAATGCATTTCTATATTTTGTATGAGCTTTGTGGATACGTGTACTATGTCCCTGATTACCCTTTCTCTTTGAATTTGTTGTCGGAATGAAAAAGTGACTCCTTGTTTATTGCTCCCCATTGTGGATCCCTGATTAGAAAGGTAGGCACCGGGTCTTGAGCGGGGGTTGCTACAAGAGGAGCTAGAAAGTATTCTACGATTAAACTCAGCGATAGTCGCACTGGGACTTTGGCATTGATCTGAGTGACCCAAATGAAAAGTAACATAGAGCCTATGGGGAAATGTGGAAGAACTGCGACTACGATGATTTAATATCTGAAAATAGAACCAATAATGAGAAGACATGAAACCAGGGTAATTTCTTCTGGAAGGAAAAGATTCAGGCTACACTTAAAGGCCGTCTTCAAATACGCGACGTTAGCTCTTATTCCAAGGGCAGTGATACGGCTTTTTATATAGTCTGTGCATAAAACCAGGGAAGACAGTTTTACATGGTAACAGAAGAGCTGTAGGTGAAATGGGAAGAAGAACGTTTTCTGTCAGGAAATGCAAAACGAACATTAAGAAAATGTGCGGATTTCACTTCCCTAGTAAAAGTCTGCTTGTTCACCAGGCATCAGATGGAATAGTCTTTCTTACCCATTGGTGATTATCCAAAAAAGGGCCTTGTTCTCAAGATCCTGAAGTTCTGTTTTCCTGCGAGCATTCGATTTTGTACTTTCAGAGGGTCACTTTTATGATAATACCTTCTTGGAAGCAAAAACGCCTTTCTCGATATGATTTTTAGAAAACAGTAACTGTGTTCCATTATTGAATCATCTATATCTGCTTCGATAGTGAAATGAGTATTTTTTAAAAAGGCTGCGTTCTAAGCAAATATTTCAAACTCCAGGCTGAGGGTGATTTTTCTTGAAGCCGCTGGGTGTGTGGGGCTCTTTAACTTGCTTTCTCTGCATCTGCCACGCCTTGGTCTTCAGGTCCTTGTTATAACAGATGTTTCCTTTCCAAGGCAGGAGGTAATTTATTAAGGCTTCAAATTCTATAGGTTGGGGGTAGGGGCAGCTCTGCGGAAAGCCTGGTCTCTCTTGGCCCTCAGACATCGCCACGTCTTGCGTCTGTATGACTAAGGCCACGACGTTCAGAGCCAAACCTTTTCCACAAGAGGACTTGAATGTTGTATTTGTAAAAAGTTTTAAATATTAATCGTTTTAGTTCCCAGTATACATTATTCCTCCCATGACACCAGTAACCTCAACAATGAATTTTATTGTTAAAACAACAACAAAGAAAACCCACAAAAAAATAAAATTTGACTTGAGATGTGATCTCATATGGTGGATGGAGAAAACGTAATCTCTCATACGATAAAGACCAGACTGTCTCGCAGTTTCCCTCCTTACTTCGTGCAAACTTTCTCTCCCTTACTTTTTTATTTCTCTAACATTATGCGTCTACAGTGCTGATATGGAACTAGGATGGAACTCTTCAAGCAAACTCTTCCACTGCTCTTAACAGTGGTTTTGGCTTGTGAAGGAAGAATTTAATGTGTTCTTAAAAGAGTTATAGACTTCCTTCGTATATTTTTCCCCCTATGATGCATTTGTGACTCATAAAAGGAATTTAAAAAAGAACTTATTGCTCCCCTATAATATAGATAAACTTCGTGGTGTACACGTTTATTTGTTTCTGGGATGGGTTGGAGGTCACTTCAGAGATGAGATGGATTTCAGGCTGGTCAGCCTCTTGTCTATCTGTTCAGAGTTACAATACTTCGTAGCCCCTGCCACCGCGTGTTCCTGTCTCCATGGAGTGATTTCGTTGACCAAGCTCTGTTTTTCTGTCCCTCCCTCCTTGTAGATACATTTCATCCTGCTCTTCAGCCGACAAGGGAAGCTACGGCTGCAGAAATGGTACACGACTCTCCCTGACAAGGAGAGGAAAAAGATCACCCGGGAGATTGTTCAGATTGTCCTCTCTCGGGGTCAGAGGACGAGCAGTTTCGTCGACTGGAAGGAGCTGAAACTTGTTTATAAAAGGTGTGAGTAACTTTATGAGAACTGAATTTATTTCTTGTTACCGCTTTGGTTAGTTTAATCCTGACCATTTTAGATTTGCAGCACCAAATTCATCATTTACTGCAGTCTCTGAAGACTGGAGCCCAAAGAGACTAAGTAGGAAAGAGCTCGCATTTATTGAAAGGCCCTGGATGTGCCAGGATGGCTCCTAGGTACTTAATCCACACATCGATCGTGCACGCTTCCGTCTGAGAAATACCTTACGAGGACCCACCGTGTTCCCAGCACTGTTGTTGTGGCTGTGGACACAGCAGTGAGCAGGACACGGGACATTCCTGATCTCACGGCACTTACTCATTTGTTAAGTAAACAAAATAGTTTCAGTTAGTAATAAGTATTATGGGAAAAACTCAGATTAGTGTGCTGCAGCGATGGGAAGCTCTCTTTATTGTTATTATTACTCATATTTGCAGATGAAGAAACTGAAGGCACAGAGAGTTTAAGTGATGAGTCCCCAGTCGCAGTGAGTGAGTGGTAATTGGCAGAGCCAGAATTCAAATTCAGATCTTTCTGGCTTTAGAGCCTGTATATTTTCTCTTTACTGTACCTGCTTGCATGGAAAGACCATACTGGAAAGAAACCTCAGTTTATAGATGAGGAAACTGAGATCCCAAGAGATAAAGTCATTTTGTCCATAAAGACCCAGACAACTGATAACTGAGCCAAGATCACAACACAGCCAACCTGACCCTGCATCCAGCATCCTAGGGCAACTTCCAGAGGAAAACACACATTTGAAAGGCTCTTGCAAGGAGTGTTTATAAGACCTGAAGGGGAAAGACAGAGTAGCCTCTGCAGACTATACTTAATGGATTAAATTACCAGAACGTGGGCAGAGCTCCTTCTGCTGGATCCAAGGTAAAAATATTTAGCACTTGCCAACAAGAAGCTTGTCTGTTTTCTCTACCTGCTGGTTTTCTAAAGCTTTGGGTTCAATCGTATTTTAAATCATTATACAGAGAACAGGCTGCAGTGGTTCTCTCGACAGATATTACAGCGAACAAGGCAGAGTCGGTACCTGCCTTTGGGAAGCCACTGATCGGGTGGGGGAGAGACAGGCCATGAAATGGACGACGAAGGGACTAGATGATCTGAGGGGGGAGGCACAGGGGCACGTCGCAGGGCATCCAATTCAGTCAGAGGAGGGAGGTATTTCCTGGAGGAAATGACATCCAAGCTCAGAGCTACAGGACAAGTCAGAGTTAACCACACGAATGGGGCAAGGAAGAGTATTTTAGGTTGAAGAAACACCCAGGACTCCGCAATCCTGGGCCGGAGACGTACAGAATGGCTGAGTGTGAGTGAGCGGGTGGGCAGCGTGGGCCCCTGGGACCCTCCGCCAGGTGTTTACAAAGGACAGCTCCCAAGCCAGGCACCCTGATTACCATGGACCAGAGGTGAACTTTTGTTGAGGGCCTTTCTCAGAATTAACAGAAGTAGTCCAATCACCGCCATGTTTTTATATATTCTATTTTACATTATGGGATATGGAATGTGAACAATAACAATTTCATTCCTGGACTTGGATGGGGAAACGCTCCGGAGAGCAGGAGGTAACTGCGTCTTTATCGGGGAAAAACCATCTCCAGGTTGTTCGATGGATCATCATATTTCACTTTATTCTTTTTTGTTTTCAAGGTATGCTAGCTTATACTTTTGCTGTGCAGTAGAAAGTCAGGACAATGAGCTCTTGACACTAGAGATTGTGCATCGTTATGTGGAGTTGCTGGACAAGTACTTTGGAAATGTAAGTGTTGTTCTGGTCTGTTAGACCAGCGGGCCTCTGTCTCAGCTCTTACCTCGGTCTGTCTTCCGTCACATTCCTTCTCTCTTTCAAGAGTAAAATATGACCTGTACCGAGGGTCAGAACACAAGGCTCTGCCCGCCTCCTGTAATTCTTAGATGGTAAATTTCAAGAGGCAGGTGGTGGCCCTACCTTCAGACCACAGCACTAGAGACCTTGTTTAATGCACTGGGGTTCCTTCTTTGTCATGGGCTGTCATCTCTCTTCTAGTTTGACATGTTAGCGCCCCTCTGGCTTCTAAGTTACACATGTTCTTTAATATTATTTATACATAAGAAAAACAACAACAGAATAAACAAGAAACGTAAGAAAAACAACAACAAAGTAAACCAAAATAATACCCTTTTCCTTCACATTGCTGTTTTACGTCCCTGCCCTTACTGCTAAGTAATGTCTTACACGAGGTGGCCCAGCCCTCTGACGGCTTGGGCTCCACCTTTGCTGCTCCAAGGAAATCAGACAGTTACCACTGGCGCCGCCCTAGTGGCCGACACAAGTGACTCTTAAAAATTCACCTGCTTAACTTCCTGCACCACTGGACCCTGGCTCACCACCGTTCTTTCTTTAAATGTGCTCCTTTTTATTTCGCCATGACCCTGGATTCTGCTGACCGCTAGGTTTCTGAAGGCCCTGCTGGTTTCCTCCCCTGAGCTCCCTCGTTCCGCCTGCTTCCAGATGCCGTGCTGCTCCTCCTACTCTCTTGTGTGTCTACTTGATTTTCTCTCCTGGAAATCTGCTACCAGGCAACTCTTTCTTGCTTTGCTGCAAATGCTCTTTGCTGGGCTTCTCACAGTCATAGTCTTTAATGCGACAGGAACCAAACCCACCTTCTGCTCTGTCCTGTGATTGAATTTGTTGTGTCCCAGGATCCTTTCCTTTTCTCCAGCCTTTACTGCCATCTGCCTCTGTCTATTCAAATTGGACTAAAATTCCTCTCCTTTCCCGTCACCAGCCTAGGTTTACTGGGGATCACACTTTCGCTTCGCCTTGATACCTCATCTCTGGCCCTCGCCTGGCCTGTTGGTTCCCGTCTTCCTCACCAAGCACAAGCCAAGGCGCAGTCCCCCTCAGTCACTCTCCATCTGTGACAAATACAACGCAGACTCCTGAGCCTGGTACTTGAGCTTTCTAAACGTTGGTCCCAGACCACTTCTCCCTGACACGCCCAGTGTTCCAGGGACGCGGACCAGCTCCGTGTTATCCTCGACTCCAACAGGAATTGCTTGGCCACCGAACTGCAAGTCTCTCAAGATCATGACCTAAGACTTTATTTGTTTATTTCTTCAACACTTGTATCCAGCTCTGGACCAGATTTTAGCAAATGTTCCAGAAACAATTAATTTAGTTCACACTCTGAGTAAAAAAAAAGAAAATCCCTGGGTTTGGAAAATGATTTGGGAAATGATTTCTTGCTCGCTGAAGATTTTTATTTTGTGCTGTTAGGAGACGTTACTTCCGGAAGAGCTTTCCTGTTCCATTTAGTGGAATGAGCAGCACGCACTGTGGGTTGGGGTTTTATCGGATGTGTTGCAACTCTTTTTATAGGATGAGTGCGTGAAAGGTTTCGGAAAGAACTTTCCTGCTGTCCCTGCTTCTCTCTCTTTTATTTTCTTTGGTAAATTATGATAAGACCCAAATGTTGCTTCAGGGACTTCAGGTTGTTGGTCAGCATATAGAGGTAACAGGACAGCCAGCTCACTTTCCTTCCTCTTTCCCCTGGTTCACTAAGTTTATTTTCATTTTTAAAAGAGAGTTTTGCAGACATAATAGCCTGTTTTTATAGCTGAGATTATTTCATGTTGTGCTTTCTGTCATTCAGATGAATTGTGACATTTCTGACTTCCTTTTGAAATAAACTCCAGATTCGGTCCTTTGCAAAGGCCTGAGGGAGTTTTCCTGAGGCCCAGGCTTTCCCTGGACCTGCCTTCTCCCCCTTATTTCTGCACTCTGGTCTGACCTGCTGTGTTTTTCTGGATTAATCCAGCTCTGAGCATGTGAACTGGGGCTGAATGTGGATCTCGATCTTATCTGATCGTATTTCGGGTATTTCAGAGCACGGGGCTTTGTCAAGAGAATGTGAATCACCTCCACTAATGCGAGCGAGGCTCATTTAAAGTACAGGAGGGTCAGGATGAATTCCTATTTCCCTAACATCAATTTTTCATCCTGTTTTGGCATACCTTTAGAAGGAACCAAAATTTAATTCACTAAAAAATTCAATGAATGTTTCATTAAGCTAAGAGCAGCTAAGAGCAATTCAAGGCTATCTGCCCAGTAGGTGTTCAATTCTTATTAATTAACAGCGATGAGCAAAGCATACCTGTTCTCACTGACATCGTCTCAGGAACATTGCTCTTTGGTTTATTTCTCCTCTTACGTTAATACTGAAGGTTTCCTTGAATTCTGCCCTTCTATCATCTAAGGGAAAACTGTGTCCTGAGCGTCTCTTATATAGCACTGGGAAAATATTACCTTCTGATGACAGATAAATCAAAATCTCTGGCCAGTGATTTAAGTTATGTACTTTTTTTTTTTTTTAGCATTTTTCAATTCCAAGGAGATTTATGAGGATTAACTAGTTAATCTTTCAATCTGCAGTAAGTAGCATTAACCCCAATTTATAGAGGCTAAGAGGAAAAATGCCTCTGGGTCTCCCAGTAGATAAGGGTCTGCTCCAGGAGTTAGAGACCTGCCATATTTCCCCTTCTCAGACTGTTGGCAAGTTTTCACTGATGTCCTTGGAAAGTGTGGCCCTTGCTGTCTCAGAGAACTTATATCTTGATGCGGGGTGGGGGTGGGAGGATTTTCTTGTTGTAGGAATGGGAGCACTCTGGGTCCTGCTGGTCGTGGTGTCAGCTCGCTCACTAATCAGACCCAAAACTTGGCCCATGACATCTATTTTACAGATAAGAAAAATGACACTTGAAAAGGTTAATAGAAATATTTACTTTGCTAACCCCGTGGGGCTATTGTGAGGATGAACAGAACAGTGCAGTTAACGATACTTTGTAAACTGCCCATGGCTATTTAGCTATACCTTGCATTAGGATTATTTTATATATAGTTTTATACATTTCTTGTTTATAACTTGATAATTTTTGTATTTCCTTTAGAACAGAATTCAGCAAGGGAAGGTCCTTCTCAGACTCTATCTAAAAGGACTTAGTTATTGAAATACCAGAAATAGTTCTACTGCATCACATTTTCTAGTAAAGCACAAGGCTTGAAGATCAAAGACAAAGTTAAATCATCACTGTCTCTGCCTTTTATAAGCTTTCTGCCAGAATATAGATCCACGAGAAAATGTTTTTTTAAAACAGAGGCTCACGTGCTGAATAACACAGAAGCCATGTGTTTTTGCATAGTTAGGTGGAATGAATTTATCTGGGCATCTGATGTAATGGGACGGAGTGCTTAAGGTGGAATTTGAAGTATTTGAGTAATTAGGCAGGAGCTGAAGAACCTGCATTTAGACTAAGGTTCCCCGAAAGGTTTTCTCTTCTTACTCTGCGATACCTAACCCCTTGGGGTTAGACTCAAGGAGTAGCCACAGAGTAGTAGCATTTTGGAGCTGCTGAACATGAAGTCACTGGTCATTGGTAACATCCTCCAATATGCTCATAGAACTCGTGCACCCATTTCCCTTATGACCTAGAGATAGTAGCTGTATGTCCAAGTTACGTGTATACGTGCATGTGTATTTTGTGCGTCTGTGTATTTTGTGTGTACTTGGCTTTGTACACCACTTTACCTTACCCCTATCCCTTGAACTGAGGTGCAGTCAATTAATTGCCCCACGGCTGCTGGGCAGCCCTACAGGCCTGAGGAGGGGTGGCTGCTCTGAGAGGGGGGTATGAGCAGTTCTCAGAGATCTTGCCTTAGTCTCAGGTTCACTTTGCAGAATTCTGGTTGCTGGTTTCTCCTAATGAGGCTCCCGTCTGTCTTGGACTCCTGGTCTACGCCCGCCTTGACCTCTGAGGCTCCCCAGCTCTTGCTACTGTAACTCCTGGCTTCCTGCTGCTTCTGACTTCTGGTAACCGCTTCCTTCTCCTACCTTCTTTCATGTGCATGACGTCTGATCTCCTGTGCTTTCTTTTCATCTAGAGTGTTTAAAATGGCAAAGTAATGCATATTCTTCCTATACTTCTAGACGTATACTTTTTAAAATAAAAATGGAATGGTATTATATATTATTCTGCAACTTTCTCTTTCCTCTTACATGTATGTATGTATGTACGTATGTATGTATATATGTGTGGGGAGGGCGAGAGAGAGCTTCTTGGGTAAGTAGAGAGGTAGATGGAGATACACGATATATGCACTTACTGATTTGGTGCTTTTTTTCAATGTATGAAGAAACCATAACCTTTGTAGATGGGTTAGATGAATTTTTCTTTTTCTTTTTTAAAAAATTCTCATCCGAGAATATGTTTTTATTGATTTGAGAGAGAGAGGAAGAGGGAGAGAGAGAAACCTTGATGTGTGAGGGAAACATCCGTTGGTTGCCTCAGGTATGAGCCCCGCCCGGGACTGAACCTGCAGCCTCGGCATGTGCCCTGCCTGGGAATCCAACCCACAGCGTTTCGGTGCGTGGGACCAAACCGCCTGAGCCACCCGGCTCAGAGTTTTCTGAGTCACCACTTATTACATTAATGGTCTTACACTGATTTGTTGTTATGCTTCTAGATTCAGTTGGAGCTGTCAACATAGGCCATTTTCCTTGTGGAGTCTGCAAGGTTATTGAACTAAATCCTGAATATATGGAACACTTTGCTAAAATATTGGCATCCGTTTTATGTGAAGTCACAACATTCAATAGTATCAGAAATTGTTATCTCAGAAGCCATTGATCCCCAGCATCATAGAATCTAGGCCTATGTGTTGGCTGAGTCGTTCATTTATTGTGCATATATTGTGTCCTACCATGTGCCAGATGCCAGGATGTAAAGGTGACCCGGACAAGGTCTGTGCCTGAGCTCACAGCAGTGGGGGAATGATTGACAAGTAAGCCTACACCAGTGCACATAGTGAGCGAGAGGAAAGGGGATTTGGGGGAAACACTGTGCTTCTGACTTTCGAATTTGGCCTTGAAAAATGAGCTTGATTTTTCCAGAAGACTAAAAGAAAGGACACTTAGAGAACATTCCAGGAATTGCAGGAATGCAAAGGGCCAAGTGTGAGTGGCTATAGCAAGGAGGGGGGCTGTCACAAGAAGCTGGAGAGCAGGCCTGGGCTGGGTTCTGAAGACTCCTGTGTGCCGTGCCGAGGAAATAAAACTTTGTCTTAAATAGAAACCCTTCCACAGAAGATGAACAACATCAGAGTTTTAGGAAGGTGTTGGCAGTCATTAGCCTCAAGCGGGCACAGACACCACCCAGAAGGTCACTGCAGCAGCCTACATGTGGCAGGCCTGAGCAGCGGCAGTGAGAATGGAGAAAACAGGAAGGGTTAGGATTTATTTACATCATGGAATCAATAAGAATTGGTGACCCATTTGAAAGGCGTGAGGCCAAGGGAGGGAGAGGAATGAAAGGGAGTGGGAAGATGGAAGGCATTAGAGTGAGCTACTATATAGAGGGGACCCCTAAGAGAGAAAATAGGGGCGAGAGGAAAAAGAATGTGCTTAGTTGCCTTTGGGCCACGGTGACTTAGGCTGAGCAGTACCCAGGCAGAGGTGTCCGGGTGGCAGGTGAATACTTTGGACTAGGCATCTGGGTTTGCTAAGCCCCCTGCACGCTAGACACAGCTGTAGAGAGTCCACGAGGTTGTCTAGGACGATACATGTACTGCAAGGGGAATATAGGCCCAGGAGAATATATGTGTATGTGTTCTTGTGAGAGGCACCCATATTCAAGACGAAGGGGATCGCTGGAATGTAGGCAACATGGAGCAGCGGTGTTTGCTTTGCTGATTGATGTGTCCCAAGTGCATACAACATAGTGATTAGACATTTATTTATATGCCTTCTGAGGTGATCCCCCTGATAAGTCTAGTACTCATCTGAAATATTCTTAAAGAAATGTAGGGGGGTGGGGGGGAGAAACCATCCAAGGAGCCTGAAGAAGAATCACCAGAGCTGGAGGAACAGGATAGGCATTGGATGGGATTGCCAAAGTCAAGGAGCAGGATAGGAGGTTTTCACAGAAGACAGTGAAGAGCTCCCAGTGCTCCAGTGCTGCTGAGAGGGGAGGTGGGGAGGGCTGAAAGCGTGCGGTTGGCAGGCCTTAGGAGGGTAAGGGAACTGGGAGGGAGGTGCCAGCGAGCCGAGGGCTTCGTGGGAAGGAAACAGCAAGGAGGGTGCCTGAGTGGCTGTCTGCCTAAAGAATTGGAAATGAGCTTTATTTGGATTATGGGGAGGAGTCTTGCTGCTTGCTTTACTGGACCAAATCTGTCAGACTCTGCTCTGGTCTATGACAGTGACAGTGGTTCCCGACATGTCCAGCATCATCAGTGTCACCTGGGAACCTGTTCGAAGTTCAAACTCTCCGGCCTCTCCCAGGCACACTGAGTCGGAAACTCCAGCAGTGTGTGTTTTAATGAGGCTTCTGGGTGATTTAGACGCATTCTGAAGTTTGAGAGCCACCGGCCAGTGCCATGATTTTGAGAAAAAAATAGCACAGTTGAGCTCTGAAATGTGTTTCTGAGGGTCCTAAAGCTGGGAGCCCGGACTCACAGACCAGAGAGCGGGAGGGAGGAAGGAAGTGCTGCCCTCGTGCCTGGAATGTAGCGGGGGCTCAGCTTTCATCTCTGCAGACCGAAAAATGAGCCGGGGTCATTCCTCTCCTGCGTCTCGGATTTCTCGTTGGGACATTAAACATTACCTAAGGACATGCTCTGCTTTACTAGAATGTGATTTTACTACTCTTCTTAAAGGCCTACAGCTCTCTAGTTCTATTTTTCTGTCCTCAACACGCTGTCTGATATTTTTGTCCTTGGTATGCCACATGCGTGTAACTTGAAAAAGCTCGAGACACTGGCAGGTGTTTTCCCTGATACCACTGCAGGTTAATAAAAACATTTGTTGTTGTTGTTTTTTGTCCTACCAGGTCTGTGAGCTGGATATTATCTTTAATTTTGAAAAGGCTTATTTTATCCTGGATGAATTTATAATCGGTGGAGAAATTCAGGAAACATCCAAGAAAACTGCCGTCAAAGCCATTGAAGATTCTGATATGTTACAGGAGGTTAGTACTCGGCTTCTCATGTGATGGGAAAAGATGATGATAATGATAATGGTGATGGTGGTGGTGATGGTGGAGGTGGTGATGATGATGGTGATGGTGGTGGTGATGGTAGTGGTGGTGGTGATGATGGTGGAGGTGGTGATGATGATGGTGATGGTGGTGGTGATGGTGGTGGTGGTGGTGGTAATGATGGTGGTGATGGTGGTGGTGGTGGTGGTGGTGGTAATGATGGTGGTGATGGTGGTGGTGGTGGTAATGATGGTGGTGATGGTGGTGGTGGTGATGTTGGAGGTGGTGGTGGTGGTAGTGGAAATGGTGGCGGTGATGCTGTTGATGGAAGTAATTATATATTAGCCGACACTTATTAAGTGCTTACTCTGTGCAAGGTGCTTACATGTATTAATTTATTTATCACAGCAACTCAAAGAGGTAGGTAGTATTGTTACCCTCATTTTAATGATGCATAAACTGAAGCACAGAGAGGTTAAATGACCTGCTCAATGTCACACAGCTAGTAGTTGTGGAATAGAGATTTGAACCCAGGTAGTGGGGCTCAAGAGCCTTTGCTGTTTATGTTTGAGCTTTTTTTTAGTGAGGATACCTCACTAATCAAAAAGCTGTCGAATACTTGGTGATATTCTTTTTAAGAGTAATTTTATGAGGGGCATAAAAAGACTTCCATTAAACTATCTGTGTGCCTTGGGAAAGGAGAATTGCAGCACATCATTGTTTCATTTGCCAGGGCTATTAGAGCTTTATTATTGACGATGGCATTAATCATTTTAATTAAAATTTCTTACACCTCCTCAGGAGGCTGTATGTGTGCTCCGATTTGCATAAATAAATTGGAAATACTGCAGCTTGCTTGCCAAGGTATAAATGGGCCCTGAAGCAGCACTCGTTTGCCCTGCCGACTCTCTTATACCCATATAGGGTAGAGTGGGGCTTTTCTTTTAGGTGTAGTCCAGATTGGCACTGTACCTAGTACAGGAACTTCCCTACGTTAGTCCCTTCAGTTTGCCCAGGGACACTGAAAAACAGCTCAGCACCCCACTGACCTTTGCCCTCCTAGATGAGATGACCCCACCCGGCTCTGCCACCTCGAGGTCCTTCTTCCCACAGCATCCTTGGGTTTTGCCATCTTTCTGTTTCCATAACAGCAGGTCAAAAGATTCCAGAGTGTTGTAAAGTATCTTTGAGGAATTGCACTAAAACCATTCTTCCTGCTGTTTGGAAGTTACAGACTGATTAAGTTAATAAAACCACATGATGTGTGCTTTCCCAGCAGCTGTGTTGGCACATCTTTGAGCTGATCACTCGTGCCTGCCCATCTAGGGAGCCAGTCCTCGGACACTGAGAAAGACGCCTGCTTGAGTGGGTACCCGTCAGCCTCTGCGTGTGCCTGCTAGGAGGCCGATGCATTTATTACTAGAGCTGTTCTTGTCTCAAAAAAACGCACTTACACTTTCTGATGTTTACTTGACACTCTCCAAATGCTGTCGGAGGTACTTGAGAAGTCAGTGGTTTGGTGATTCCACAGAACAACCTTTCTTAAACTATGCCAGGAGGTCATTTATAATTCTATTCCTAGGCCCCTTACTGCGGAATCTCCTTATAGGAGAAACAGACTTTAAACAGGGTCTTTTGGCACTTCAGTAATTAAAATTTCTTGAATTGAGGTCTAGACACACCTAGGTTATTTTGAATCCCCCCACCTTAGGAAAGTTTTAAAGAGCTTGCAGTGTATCCAGATTTCTGGTTCCATTTAAATCCGGGAAGCAGGTATTTTCAGAGAGAGCCCTTTCACAATTAAACACTAGTTGGTAGTTCATGTCCCTGGTGATCGAGTGGGAGGTCCTGATGACTAGGTCTCAGGGGACACTCCATTTAGCCCCTGCGTCCCCATAGTGAGCAGGCAATGCCATGGCTGCCCAAGAAATCTCGCTGAATTAACTGCACCTGCCAAATCGAAACAGTGTTAGCAGTGCTCTGTTACAGGCCTCTGGTACTTAAGCCAAATCGATGAACATTTGGGGAGCTGGTTGAGAAACTGACTTTGAATATCTGGTTTGCTTTATATGTCCAGTCAGAGAAGTTTAGAATGAATGAGTACATGTAATATAATTGCATAAAGAAAAAAAATTAATTCCCCCTCCCCGTCCTTGGGACCTAAGCATACATTTGTAGTGACTAAAGGTAAAGGGAGGCCTTTGTAACATTGCTTTCACTCTGAGCCCAACTGAAAACCTGCAAGTAGCCCCTGGGCCTTCCCTTGACCTCTTAATAAAAGGCGATCTCCCCATATTTAGTAAGTCTTAAATCTCCAAATGCTGCAAGCTTATTCTGAGTGTCCTGGGGCCGGATGCTGATGGCATGGAAATAAACGATCAGTTTATTTAATTGCTTGGGGATGACTTTAGGCGTAGCTTACTTTGAAGGTAGCAGCTAAGAACTGGGGAGACAAGTGCAAAGTGATTAGGAGGAAGAAGAAACTCTGGAAGAAGATAGTGACCTTGGATTGTAGAGGTCGCCATTCCCGAGATTAGCAATAGCGGCAACAAACATGTTTTGACCACAGAATTAGAAAGCAAGTTTAGGAGGGAGGGTCACGGGGCACCTCCTTATACCTGGCATGTATATGTGTAGATTCATGAGAAGGGCTAGGGGCTCCCCAACACTGTCACCCTTAAAGCAAGACCATGGTAACAGCCCAGCCAAGAAACACTGCGGCGCTGGATGGGTGACAGAGGGACCCCAGGATAGAGACTGTGGTCCTCCTGCCGCCTTCAAAGACTGTTCCCACCGTTACCGTAGCAAGCTCAAGACAGCACCAGCCTCATACATTATTTGAGTGACAGCACAGCTCAGGTAGGGAGGCCTGTGCATCCCTTAGCAGAGTGAGTTCGCCAGTGCTGGGAAGCAGTGCCAGTGACCAGGGGCCGATGAACTGTGAAGTCAGTGAGGCCACAGCTCCAGGGCCTTTTGCTGGCCGAGGCCCCTTCCAAGGCTGCAGGCTCATATGGTCAAATTCCCATAGGTAAAGAGTAACTGTAAAGAGTAAGTAGCCAGACAATAAATATAAGATATTATAGAGGTGTGTCAGGCACTTAATGATTGAAAACCGTACGCTATTGCTCTGGATTTTGCAAAATTTATAATTTTTTAAAAATTCGTAACCCACTGTCATTTTTTTCCCCTCTCATTTTAAATTAACTTTATGCCCCATTTTGTATTTGCAACTTTGTGTTACTTTTTAAGTAGTATAAACTTTAGGTGCCACCACAGGCATGGGCCCCTGGCCAATGTGATACACTTGCTAAGTTTAAAGCCATGGGCAGCACCTGTAAAAGGAGATCCAGGGCAGAGCTCTTGGGGTGTGGGCTCTTCGTGGCCAGCGCTCATCTAGGTTTGGAGCTGGTTCGGGAAGCGTGGATGACCGGCCACAGTATTTCCAGCAGAGGCCCGCTGGCATGCTGAGCAGAGCCGGTGGACACAGTTGAACACCTGATTTGTAACCCTAGCGCCCTCTGAACAATCGGGCTTGGCCTTGGTCTTGGCTGTTTGGCCCATGCTGGCTGATTGTCATCCTGGCAGGTGCCAGTGAATCACGGGTCCTGGGCTTCATCGAGCATCACAGATTGAGCTGCCAGTGGCAGGGGTGTCACCTAAGGCTCCCCTCTTGATCTCCTTTATTGATTTAACCCAGAGGCCACTGTGTTACACGCACAGACATTATAGGAAAGACTGCAAGAGAAAAGTCCACCAACGTACATGGTAAAGGGCCTGCCATATCACTGTCACTTTGAGCTCTGCCTGTCATTGGGAACCTACCCGAACATTAAAAAATAGTGCTGGAAAAAAATCACAGCCTCGTGGCCTGTTAGCAAACTTGGCAACTGCTGAGGAAGAGGAAGGGACATAATTTGTGTACCTCAGAGGGAAGCCTCTTCAAAATACACGGCAGAAAAATCTTAAGAATTACGGTGTTTACCCATTATATCTTGGCAGTGAGTGTAAGAAAGATGCTCTGTACAGCATCTGGAGTAATAAATGTGCTGTGCAAACAGAATCCGGACTTGTCTCCTGCGTGTGCCTGGCCGTGGGCCGCAGGGCCGTTTAGCAGACACACTTATCTGAAGTCGGCGGTGACGTGTCGCAGCCGTGGCCGGAGCGCTGCTCTCGCCAGACGCTCCCTCTGTGACCCAGCGTGGTTTCCCCTCCGCTGCACGTGAGTTAGGCGCAGCCCTGTGGATGCGTGGACGAGTTACACGCAGGCCCCGGGCCACGTTCTTGAGCAGAATGCAGAGATCTGTGTCCACGCAGGGAATAAATAGAAGCACAGGAGAGATCTGACCGTGTGCTGGAGGGTGTGGCCCACGGTAAAGCTGCTCTGATGTCCTCTCTTGCAGACCCTGGAGGAGTACATGAACAAGCCCACCTTCTAACCGCGCCCCGTCTCGGAGACCCTGCGGCCGCGCCCTGGGCCGGTGAAGAGCCGCGCCTCGTGCCCGGCTATGGGACAGAGCCTCCGGCACCTCGCCAAAGACCGCTTCAAAGGGATTTTTTGTTAACTAGCAAAAATTACAGTTGTCTAACATAATATATTTATCATTATTACATGTCTGTATTGTGCTGTATACGATCACGTATTGTAGCTCTGGGTGTTCACACGAGGCTTCGTGCCTCAGTCGACTGAGCATTTGTCTGCAATGCATTGACTCCACGGCATGTTTTCAGCTGATTGAAATATGTTTGTTGTAGTACGTTTTTTTACGTTTTTTGCTGCATCTGGTCCTCTACTGACAGGCTGAACACTGTGTTGTACGAATCTGTGATTTCGAATGTGAAGCTGCAATACTTTCCCTAAATGTTTAGCTTTTAAAATGGTCTGATAGGTAATTCAAAATTATGTTAATTGTTCAGAGTTCCTATGTAAGCAAGACATTTTTTATTAAAAAAAATATGTTTTTATTGATTTTTAGAGAGAGAGGAAGGAAGAGGGAGACAGAGAGAGAGAGAGAAACATCAGCGTGAGAAAGAAACATCGACTGGCTGCCTCCTGCACGCCCCTGACCAGGGACCCAGCCTGCAGCCGGGGCAGGTGCCCTGGCTGGGAATAGAAGCCGCAGCCTTTCGGTGCCCAGGACAGTGCCCGACCAACTGCGACACACTGGCCGGGGCGATGCTAGACATTTTCAATACACTTATAATAATGTGATTTCAGTCCAGGTATAATGTATCTGCTTTTCATGTCCTGAGTTTATTTATTTTTCAGTGTTGGAATGACAGAAAATAACCAAAGATAGTATAGGAGTTAAGCGTTTTTGAGGCCTTGGAGGCTGCTCTCTTGGCTGAGGTTTTAATTTTACCTTTTAATTGAACGTAAGGGACAGCACAGTAAGGTCAGGTTTTTCTACAAACTCTATAACTGACTAAGGTTTTTAGACATCTGGAGATACAGTGCCTATGACTTCCTTCCCTTATTATATAAATAGTATAATAGAGATTAATAACAATAGCAATAATTATTATTATTACTACCACTTTAATAATCTTGTATGTTCTAAGCATTCTTCGTTGCTTGAGAGATTTTGTTTCAACTATGTTTTTATGTATATCTAAGATATTTGAAGACTTACTGTTTATTAGGCTTACTCAGAGCATTTAATACAGGGTGGGGAAAATAGGTTTACAGTTGTGTGCATGGAAAATGATACGGTTATTTATAAATAATAATACGAGAATAAACTCACACCTGGAGCCCTACTTTTGCCCCGCCCTGTATTATTGCTGTAGGGCAGGTGCCTTTTCTCCTTTATTCTTTCCTTGCCCCCAAGGAAAATACTTGCTGCTGACCACTATTGTTGTGACTGTACATCGTGTCAACGTTTCATCTTAGTGCCCACTTCTGACGCCTCCCCCGCGCGTTTTCGACGTCAGTGCTGAGGTCTGGCGTCATGCCTCTCCCAGGGGGCAGGGACCCTCGCGTGCTTTTCTGAGAGGGTGCTCGCTCCTGGGTCCTCCAGCAGGTCCCGGGGGTGGGGGGCCTTCCGTGGACGTGAGGGGACAGTGCTCTCGTTGACTGATCTTGCCACAGGTACTTAGGGAAGACTGCGAGGCAGGAGCAGGACCGAGGGAACATCACTAAGTGGAAGTCACCCAGATTCAGGGGGAAGTAATCGTTGGGCTGTCACTACCGACCGTTTCCTCAGTTCATCGTGTACTTAGAGTGGTCGCGTCAGACTGAAGTTTAACTATCATTTTTCATTACTTTGTTTACATCATGCCTTCAGTTTGCGGTTTCGTTTTTTGTTGTTGTTATATTTTTAAAAATAGTTTTGTAAAGCTGGGTTTTCTATGTACTACATATTTATGTACTACATGTGCTGGAGTCTCCAGATTGGACACTGTCTAGCTCTAGGCAGGGCTTCTCAGGATCATGTCAGCATCGCGTATAGAAAATGAGCATTACAGTGTGTCACACTGGGGTAAATTTGGGGGTTTGGGGGACGCCTTACTTGGGCCTTGGTGAAAATAATCATTATGTTTTCTTTATGTTATATAGTTATAATGAAACTACCAAGTGGAGGAAAAGATAATAAATATTAAATTTTATAAATCTCCAAAATAAAATGTTTTTAAATTTTTAAGTGAGGGACGTGAGTGTGCTTTCATGAATGCATTTTTTAAAAATCGGATTTCATGCTTGACATTGCTACCCATAATTCCTGGTAAGGTCCCTTTGATATGACTTCTTCGTTTTCTAGGTGCTTATCATCAAGGAGACGCTCCCAAGGAGGCGACAGCAAATGAGGGAAGGGTGTTGCTTGGTTCCTGTTGACTCCTCACCACTCTCCCATATTTTGATAATCTAACCTCTACCCATAGTTAATGACGCAATCATTCTTTAAAACTAGTAACTCCCTTTCTTTCATTAACTTATGTAAAGCTGGAATTTATTGTGATAAAGCAAATGAACTTTTAAATTATTCAAACTTTTCCCCCCATACCAAATTTCCTAAAATAATGATAAAGCTTTTCTTCAAACATGCACAGATGCACTTCTGAACTTAATAATTCTTCTTTAGGATTCACATTCCAATTCCCGTGAAACATCACTGGTGAACTGTGTTCAATTTTACTTTTTGGAAAAGGTTAATACTTTTTTTTTTCCACATGGTCCCCACAATTTTGAATTAAGTTCCATCAGATACTCTGGAATATAAGTAAAGCAAGCCCATGACTATTTTTCAATAACTTGCAAAAAGGAGGGACATTTAAAATTTTTTTTCAATTCTTCTTTAAATCTTGACCAACTTGAAAAAACTCTACAGTGTACTTTGGAATTAAACAATGATAATCTATTTTATCAGGTAATGCAAAAAACAGAAGGGACTGCATAACAGTAGGGCTGTATTAGATTCGCCTTTTGATAGTACTACTGTTACCAGTGGAAGTGGAGTTCTTGGGGTGCCATGAGGAAAAGAATTTCCTGAGGCCCCCACAGAAGGATGGGGTTTCGTGGAAAGCATTATTGATGATGTCACATTAAGGGGGTTCCCCTCCAAGTTTCCATCTCTGTCCATCTTGCCGTGGAAAAAGTCCAGTCTTGTCTTCGGCAGGGCCAGAATTAAGGTTCCTGCCCAGAATTTCTGTTCCATGTTAAAGTACCGTAAGGTGCAGCATCCTGCATGTGGAGTCAGCACGGCCATGGGCCATGAGGCTGCTAAGGCCCCATGGCTATGGAGGGAGAGCAGGCGAGTGCATGGATGAGTGTGGGTCATGCAGCAAGAGAGAGCAAGAGCGAAAAGGGGAATGAGGGAGCAAGACTCCTTTGTCTGGGGATTTCAACCAGGAGCTTCTTCAAACTAACCAATAAACTCTTCAGGATTTCTCATGCTTCCGATGGGGTCCACCCCCCAGCCAATCCATTGTTCCCCGAACCAGACGAATAGGCAAGCGCCTTCCCCATGTCACCCTGACTTCACTGCGTGTCTGTCCATGCCCCCCTTTGTTCGATCCCTTCCCCCAGTGCTCTGCAGGGAATGGACCAGTGGTTCCTGGGGGAGTGTGAAGCTGTAGCTCCCTGGTGAAGCTGCCCAGATGACGATGCTTATAATGTCTAGCCTCCCCTTTGCTCTCTTTCCTTTATTAATATTAACTAGCTAATTATGATGATAACATTACTTAGTGGAATTTCGCCCTACAGATGAACTTTTACTATTGTTAAGTTCTTTGTGAATAATCTCAGATATTAAGTAAATCTCAAGGTTTTCACCTTGCATTTGTGCCATCGGGACTAACTTAGGTAGTGTTTCCATCATAACTTAATTGTTTCAAAGTGTTAATGTACTATTTTCTTAACTAGTTTGTTTTGCTACTTTGCAGAATAAATAATATTCTAAGCATTTCTCCTTAGCACAGTTGATAACAAGGGTAGATTAATCTGAGATGATATAGTTATGATTTAACCGTCTTCTAGATTAGAATTATTTTCATGTTGTTGACATGTCACTAACAGTATTATTCATGTTGTTGACTGTTCACTAGTAGTATTATTCAAGTGGCACTTTTTCTCTTTCCTTTGGAACTGTTAAGAGTTTCTGTGGAGGCTGTAAAATGAGCGATTCTGCAATCGTGTGACTTGTGTGGGCCTTTGCTGTTGTTAGCAGGGCCTTATGAGCTACATATAATAGCTGTATGAACTACACCCAGTATTGTTATATAACTTATAAGAGAACTTGGCTTCATATTTTATACTCGCAGATGTTTAAAATGTCCAATTAATCCTGTGTGTAAAATGAATGTCTAGTGGAAAGATGTCAGCATAATTTACTTGATAATATTTTGAGGTAAATAAAACATTTAGGCCAAAGAAATGGAAGAATTATGAGAACACTTGGTTCCAAATGCAAGATAAGTCTCATACTGCTTCAATGGTGACTTAAGGTTTTAAAAATATATTTTTTTGGAGGGAAGACATCTTTTGAATTTGTAAAGCCTCCAGTTTTAATAAAATGTTTCTATTATGGTAGGAAATCATTTGTAAAATTTAAGGCTACATAAATGTGAAGAATAAAGAACTAATGTGGTTGTAGGGGTTTGTGGTTAGAAAATTGTTTCAAAAATAATTTAGGTCATTTGAAATTTTTAGAATGTTGAAAAATAAATATAATAAAAGATAATTTTGAAAAGTAATGCAGTCCAAAATGGAAAGTATGAAGATACATATTAATTTTTATTTACTAAAATAAACATATAAAGTCAGAATATAAATATTAATTTCACTTATGTAGAATTAAATAATTTTGGGGAATCTAATGAATTGATTAAATTATTACATTTTCCTGTTTTAATAAATACGCATCTTTTAAATTCTGGAAACAAATTTTTATGATATTTTATCAAGAGTTAGACTTTGGCTAATTATAATATTAAAAGCCAAACTGAAATGGTGGATGGACAAATAAATAAACCAAGGCACATAATAAAAAAATGAATAAAGTCAATTATGTTCTACTTGCAATACCTAATCCCACATGATAACAGTAATAGTTGTAAAGAAAACTATTTGTACATACTTTATTAGTTGAAACCTCTATTTAAAATATAAAAGCGTAGAACAAATTAAGTTGAAAAAAAATTTAAATCTTTTGCATACCTACAAAGAATGTCAAGAATGATGAATTGTGAGTAAAAATCAGACTAACTCATTATTTTAAGAAGTGGTCTATGTGTAGATATTTTCATTCAAGTCCTCTCTGCCCTCTGTGCATTCTATATTAAAAATCTTATGAGACAAAATGCGTAATTAGTATATTTAGGCATTTTTCTGAGGTAGCCATTCAAATACTATTCAAATATAATATGAACTTGTGAATTTTTGACTCGATGGGAAATAGTGGCTTAATTTTCTTTTTCTAAATAGATACGATTTTTAGTCATCAGTTTCTCAGAGCAAGCAAGGGGGCCATAACCCCCTGGTTGGGGTGGTCTGAGCCATAA